GACCATGATCTACGGGTATGCACCTGGAATATCCGGACCCCCTATAGAGATGGTGCCTTTGCTCAGCTGAAAGATGCCCTGAAATAGAATATGTTATGGCTGACATCACCGCCATCCAGGAAATATCATGGACGGGACATAGCATAACATAGGGTGTAGCAAAAGACAATAATGTGACATCTATTATAATTGCCTTCGCACACTCGTCTCCGAATTCACCTCTGTGAACTAGCGAATCGCCACGATCCGCATCAAGGCCAAATTTCACAACATCAGCCAAATTTGTGACTATGTCCTCAACGCAGGGAAGCATATTTGGTCCGATAGTCGGAAAATTCAGTCTCCTCAATCAAACTACCGGCAAAAATTTTAGGCTGATCGACTTTGTCCCGGTACGAAACATGGTAGTAAGTAAATAGCACCTGCTTTCAGCATCCGAAAAATCTATCAGGCTACTTGGCTTCCTCCCGATCTGAGAGGAATATGATTCAAGATTTCTGCTAGAAGGTCTCCCACCTAACCGTCTCACCAGTTATTGGCCTATGCCGTCGATATCAATTTAGTCGGTCGCAGCAACAGGGTTATTAATGCAGCATTCTCAAACATAGAAAAAGAAGCGAAGCAGATGGTTCTGGTGGTGAATGAGAACAAAACGAAGTACCTCATGTCAGCAAACAAAGGACCTCAACATTTGAGAGATCACGTCACTGTTGACAAATAACACACCAACTCACAAAATAGACTATTCGGTGTTGGCCAACAGAGAAACACACACACACTCGTCTACGAATTCACCTCTGTGAACTAGCGAATCACCACGATCCGTATCAAGGCCAAATTTCACAACATCAGCCAAATTTGTGACTATGTCCTCAACGCCAGGGTGGGCAAGGAAAGCATATTTGGTCCGATAGTCGGAAAATTTAGTCTCCTCGATCAAACTACCGGCAAAAATTTTAGGCTGATCGACTTTGTCCCGGTACGAAACATGGTAGTAAGTAAATAGCACCTGCTTTCAGCATCCGAAAAATCTATCAGGCTACTTGGCTTCCTCCCGATCTGAGAGGAATATGATTCAAGATTTCTGCTAGAAGGTCTCCCACCTAACCGTCTCACCAGTTATTGGCCTATGCCGTCGATATCAATTTAGTCGTTCGCAGCAACAGGGTTATTAATGCAGCATTCTCAAACATAGAAAAAGAAGCGAAGCAGATGGTTCTGGTGGTGAATGAGAACAAAACGAAGTACCTCATGTCAGCAAACAAAGGACCTCAACATTTGAGAGATCACGTCACTGTTGACAAATAACACACCAACTCACAAAATAGACTATTCGGTGTTGGCCAACAGAGAAAAGGACGACCCAAACTCAGATAGAAGGATCAAATGGATACTGGCGAAACAGGAAATCTTTAACTGGCGCCATCGTGCGCTATGTGGAGACGACTGGCGAACGCTTATCAACGCAGCCAAGACCGACACCCGGTTTCCCATTGCCAATCTGATGATGATTGTGCATAAGAAGAAAAATTCGATACACTTTAATTCTGATGTTTTAAGATATGAGAGAAGAAGGAATGAGCTGGCAATCTCTACCTGCCTAGAAGCAACACCTACTAGAATTTTTTTTTAATTTTAGTCAAAACTGGGACCGAGGCCATCAATTTAGTAGTATTAGACCGCACCGCTAACCATTATAATACAGCGACCAAAAAAGCCGAAATTTACATCATGTCACTCATAAACTGTGTATCCTACTCCGGACTCTCATTTATCGGTAAGACATTTCCTTAAGAGCTCTCTGGATTTCAGTTATTTCTTAGGTTAGACAGAGAACAAAAAGTAGCATCCAAAAATGTATAAAGCATTCACTTGAATGTGGGTCATCGATCTTACACTGAGAGCACCGAAGAAAACAAAAAAATATATGTAAAAGAGTTTCTATACGTCCGATTTCGCTCTTCTGAAAACTTCCTTGTTTTCGAAACTCAAAAATCCGCTAGAAGAAAGACATCACGTGTCGATTGAGAAAAAAAATAAGCAATTACTATAAAAATGTTATTTATTAATGCCCGTTAAGCTATAATTGTTATTAACCTATCTTATTGTGAAGTCATTAACAGAATCTTAATTTTCCTTGATAAGCAACTGCTAAAAAATTCCAAACTAAAGCGTTTTGTTCATTGATAATTTTGTATTGACAGATCAAAATAAGTAACTTTTTAGCTCCAGTTAGCTTTTAATTATGTAATTGCAAACCAAATTTAAATGTACATACTTATGTATGTATGTTTCAATAGTGAGAGTAATGCTGAGCAGATTATGTGATGTCAGTGACCACACCCTTAACGTACGTACATATGTATACTCAGTATACCATATATTTATGCAGCATTTAAGTATACATGTACATACCTTGTAAGGATGCAAAGTAGTAAAACTCAAACGCTACAAATGGAATGGCGAATTTGAACAACTTTGGTGCCACACTTTGCTCTAAAATACTTTCTGGCACTTATCCAATGGTTCTCTAACAAATGTTTTTGACAATCCGTTAGGCATCTGCCTCGTAGGTTGCCTGGTCGTTTGGCGACCGACCACTAATATTCCGCTGCTGTCTATTTGGTTAAGTATTATTATTACTGTGGTTGGGATGCGCTCTACTCTACTTCAACAATATTTAAGTTGTATATTCTCGGAATAGAAGGCAGATCGTAAAACTACTTCTATTCTTTTTAAAAATTCATTAAGATTGAAAAACGGCAATAGGCTTTTGCTCTTTTTTGTTATTATATGCGCCAATATTTACTGTTATAAAACTATATAAGGTATATATGTATGTATATGTGCATATATTTATGCATTATTATCCATGTGAACACATACATAGTAATTATGTATGTTATATGGTTCCATTTTAGCCACCAAAGTGGCGAGCAAAGAAACTAACAAACAGAATAATAGGAAAGTACTCAGATGCGAAATGGTTTGTTGGGGTCTATGACCGTTATGTGTCGCTACGTCGCTTGTAATTGATTGTAAAATGTTTAGTATTGGCACAGAGCACAGTTTTGCTTATTTTGTAACAGTATACAGAATGGAGAAGTGAATATGAAAACAGCTAACAAACAAAATGGTAAACCGAAAGAGCACACACTCCGACAGGATGCCAGCCGCTTATTATACCCTGAACAGGGTATATTAAGTTTGCCACCAAGTTTGTAACACTCAAAAGGAAATGTCGGAGACCCGATAACATATACTTATACATACATAAAAGATCAGCATGATGAGCTGAGTTGATTTAGCTATGTCCGTCTGTCCGTCTCTATATATACAAACTAGTCCCTCAGTTTTAAAGCTATCGATCTGAAATTTCGCAACTGCCCTTTTCTCACAAAGAAGCAGCTCATTTGTCGGAACGGCCGATATCGGATCACTATAGCATATAGCTGCCATACAAACTGAACAATCGGAATCAAGTGTTTGTATGGAAAACTCTTTCATTTGACGAGGTATCTTCCCGAAATTAGGCACGAGTTATCGCTTAAAGCAACAAATTATTCTCCGCAGAAATTGGCCAGATCTGATCACTATATCATATAGCTGCCATACAAATTGAACGTTCGGAATTAAGTTCTTGTAAGGGACCTTTGTATTTGTGAAGGTTATTATAGCTTCGGTGCAACCGAAGTTAACGAAGTTTTTTCTTGCTTTTATTTTAATATATTTACTTACATATATATTTTAAGTAGAAAATAGTGAATGAAACTGTCTTGATATGTATAGTATATGCAAACATATAATAATACTACTATATACATATGTATGCTAACATACTATAAATAAGTTCGTACATGCACACGTATAACAATTAAGATAGACATTGCGACAAGTAAACACGTAGAGTTAGTAATTCGTGATTCGGCTTTTACACAATGTGGATCCGATTTTCAAAATTTTTATTAACGGTTTTTAACAGTAGCGCTGCATTTATGAGATCATATGCTATGCCACAGCGAAATGGAAAATTATTGTAAAGTTGATGAACTTGCAAAGAAAAACAGCTTTGCCGCAATATCAGCAGAATGGAAACAAGTTTGAACTCCGTTGTCTTCTTATAGTTTACTCCTACATGGCTGGACTTCAAGTGAGCTTGACAAGCGCTGCTCATCTACCAAAACTTTCACAGTCGCAAGGTCCGAAATAAATCGTAAGAGGTCTAGTGTCTAGCTCCTCGACCTCAGTAAGGTTCGTCTTTTCCAATTGTAAGTGTTTTAACGGGTTATTGATCGATCGGCATTCAAGCGGCAGGGTTAAAAATTTTAGCTTGAATCATAAAATTATACCATATCCTATGCTAAAGCCAGGTTTAAAAACCTTGGATCTCACACCTTTAGCCGTCCAGATGAACTAAATGCAATTAAAATAGATAACCCAAGCAGATTTGAGATGCAACTTCAAGAGTATCATAAAGGACTTGTCTTGATCAAATATTCAAGCCGCAGAAGCCACTCAGAAGAACTTTAAAATCTAGTTTCGTTTGAACAACATTTGGAGCGTGGATCAAACAAATGAGTGACATAAATCAATTAGATTGACAAAATCGAGTTCGGATAGAATAGCAAGCTTAACGACACAATCTCTCGAATTGAATTCAACTACATACATGCGTATCATTTTTGTCTTTTTTTTTTGAATATTGGACTACAATCTTTACGTTAGTGTTTGCTTCTAACAATTTAAAAAAAAAAGACAAGCTAAGAGACTTCAAATGTGCTCCATTGTAACGTTCATTGCACAAAAAAGGTTATATTATATGTCGACCCCAACAAACCACTACATACAAATGGCATTAGACCTTTGGTCGCGCCATTTCTATCTTACAAAACAAAGTATTTAGTATTCTTATGTAAAATTTTACGAATCAAACTCAGAACCCGAACTTTCCATACAAATAAATTTGAAATATATATGTATGTATTTAGGCACTACCTTACCTGTACTTGGAACATGGTCACTGAATCATCTAGCATTTGAATGCGAACGGTTAACTTCTTGCCACCGCGATGTCTTGGTGTGGATGGTGTTCCATCGACTCCAGATGGTGTGCTCAACGAGTGAGTCATGCGTCCACCCGGCACACCCATACCATCCACAACGCTAACACCAACACCACCGCCGCTTATGCCGCCATCTCGAGTCGCTGTACCCATATCGGCCAATGACATTTTGTAGACCAGAATTTTTATAAATTTGCAATACTCGTCGGTTCAATCACTTTTAATACAATTACTAATTGTATAGCAAAACTATATCATTTAAGAGACTTTTCAACTTTTTTCACACTTTTCTTTTGATTTCTTTTGCTGCTTATGACTTTTATCGAGCTAATTAGTTTAGAATTATTCTAATCGAGTTCGCTTCCTATTCAATTATTATATTTGCGTTCAATAACTTATTTTATTCACACAACTATTATATATAGACAAAAATAAAATTTAAGGTTTCCTATCGATACTATTAAATTTAAAATGTTAATTGATAATCATTAGCCTACGTATTGCACCGTTAGTTCACATCAGGTTCTTTGTATTTTCGTTTTGCGTTGCTTCATTGTCAAATTACTCGATTTGCTTTTGTCTATGTATTTAATTTGGAATGAATATGGGCGTCTTTCGGATTCGATTGGGGTTGACGAGCGGCTGCGCTTCAGGTTGTTTAATATGACATGGGCTTGTGAATTTTTGTCGATTTTGGAAGTTTAGCGCTGAAACTTTGCTTCGTAGAAAATTTTGTTTTAAATTTTTTTAGAACAAAATTAAAACCGACGTACTGGAAACAACTGATTTATTTTTTCGTTGTAAATCGATCTTTCATTTTTGAAAAGTGCGACTTTTACTACAGTTATATTTTAATTATCCTTCCATTTTTTACTTTAGTATTTACATTATTTTGATTCGCGGGGTCTTTGACGTTGAGGTACGACTCTAGTTAATCCTCATAGCTGCATGAATTGCATAGTCTAAAGCCTGCAAATATAAAATAAATATTTTATTAGTATCGCACCGATGAATAAAATGAAACATAAGTAATTCTGTCAAATTTCAAATGGATGGCACAATTCAAAAATTTTTTGAGCTAAAATTTTATATGTCAAATTTATTTTTTGCAATGTACATGTGTTGGTGGGGATGGTTTTGACGACTTGGTATTTGATGACATTGATGAACTGCTGGTTGATCAAGGTCTTACCGAAGATGAAATATTATATTTTGCCTCAGAGAACGCTGACACTATAGAAAGCAGTGATAGTGAAGAACCTGTTCAACTTACTACAAATTTAATTCAACAAGGGCTTCAACATCGAAACAACAATGTCGAAAGAGCTGTATAATTTCAACGTGAGATGAAGTCTTGAATGGCTCGTTACAAAGAATTATACAAAGAAGTAGCAATAATAATAAACAACGGCTCATAACAGAGTTCACTCTTAAAAAATGTAGATGATCGATCTAGAGAAGGTCCAGTTCAAAATTATTTCAGCGAGGATAATGATTTTATAGACATTCGAAGCAAGCGAATACGAATAACTAATTATGACAGCAATTAAATTTATGTCGCTGTATTTATAATTATTAATTTTTTTTTTTTTTTTTACTTTTTTTCTTACATAAAAAATTGATTAACCTATTATTTTTGTTAACAACATAGCTGTTTTACATAATTGTTTTTAGTCCTGAACTTGTCTTATATTTAATTTACATAACTATTTAGGTTAGAGTTCAAATCTTATTTTTTTCTTTAATAACTATACTTGTGTAAATGTTGTCAAACAAACTCAACGATCAGAATTAAATTCTTGTTAGGGAAATTTTTTTATTTGACAAGATATCTTCACGAAATTTGCTGAACGCTATTGCACCTCTGCCTGTTATTATTACAACCCATTTAGTCACAACTACCGAATGCTGGCTACAAAAACGTAGTCATCCCAGGACGCAGAAAGAGTAGAAACTGAACCGCAATAGGTCCAACTTGGAAACCTTGGCGAAGTTTACGTTTTTCTTGTTTTGTTAAAATTATGATTTTTATTATATAAATCACATAAAAACATAACTTGTAGTTTTCCTATATAATTCTTATTTCCTAAGTTAGCTTAAGACGCAATTATTTAAGTGCATAAATATTTATGTGTACGAGTATATCCTGAGTTAGGTATCATAGATAGAAAAGTCTTCTTTTTTCGTCGGCTTTCTAAAGACAAACCAAATTTGGTGTATAAATGTCACGAGGACTGTACACACGTTGAAGTTACTCAAACTAGTCTAAGAATTTTAAAATGCATCAACTACATCCAACAACACCGACACAGCAAACACCGTGATTTCTATGCCAACGCGATATATAGACGCGAGTCCATACCATCTTCGTGAAGTTGTTTTGCCATATGTATGGACGTTCATATAATACTTACTTATGTGCTTATGTGATCGAATACAAAAAATGGTAAACGTGTGGCACATTTGGCACTCTTTTAATAGATGTTTGGCCAGGCTTTTACTACAATTTATGACAATATTATTTAAAATGAAGTGTCTTAAAAACGTAATTCCAACTCAACGTCATTAATGAGACGAATTATTAAGCTCTTATGGTATAGTAATAATACAAAGTCTTGCCATACCTTCGTTAATTAGTTAACTTTCTGTCAAACTCACGCCATAAAAGCTAATAGATTGAAATGTCGTAATTGTTATTTCTATCAGTCTTGATGTAAACCTTTCGTTAGATAGATTTTATTGATTTTAATGTCAATAAATGAATTTTGATATCACTTGCTGGCATAAAAAAAAATAGCTTGATTAATTTTTGCATCCGTTACTGCTGAGCTTCGAAATCGCGACGAACCGACTGTCACGAACCAACCTACTCAGCTCAGCTGCCGCGGCCATCCGTCATATGTGATTATTTATAAAATACTTTAAAAATGCGAACCATCACCAGTTTGCCAACTTCGCAACCGGACCAAACCAGCGACTTCCATCTTGGGAAGTCAGTGTTTGATGACAGCGTAACCCCTCACTTCCTGCCGTAGCTGACGAGACGGTCGGCACACAGCATCTAGCGGATAAAACTCCTACTCAGCAGACTCGGTGCAGCCTGATGAATATGGTTTTAGCATATTCACCATCGATAGTGCATTCGTATACATAAAAAAAAAAGAAACAGTGCTCGTGTGTCTGTGCAGAGTTTACGAAAGGGTGAAACTCAGTGGCCACAGCACATTTGCGATTATTAATAGAAATTAGTACACAACTCAGCATAACAGAATTCTTCTTTATGTACTTCTTTAAATTACAAACAAAAAAAACCAAGATACACACACACACATGTATATACATATGTATGTTTATATGAAAATGTATATCTGAATATGAAAACTTTTATGAGGTTCCAACATTTCACACTGCATAAACTCTGGCGATGCAGCTGTGCAAGATGTCCAATGCAACTGCAAGTGCCAAAATATACTCAACTTGCACGGCACGGACATAAACAGTGTAATATCGATATAAAGGACCTGCGTTACCATTATTAAAGTTCCCTACATAATAGTACAAAATCTCTAATCTATATAGTCCGATCAATCTAGACATTCAACGATACAGAACCTTACATGTAGACCAAAGTGAGTAAAAATGTTTAAATCTTGATTGAAAATAACATCCTGATCGGTCCGGCACGTGAAAAACAATTTACCCGAAGTCAAAGGTCAAAAAATGCTTATCGCGATTTTCAGCGAAATGGTAAGATTTATCATAAAATTACATCAGACAAAAATTTAACATCAAAAAGTTATCTAAAAAATTTTTGAATACTTTTATCCTAAGAGCTATCATTTCTGAGATATAATAAAATATAAAGATCGTTATCACCTATGTGGTAGTGTACTTAGCGCATTTTTTGCAATTTTTTAATTTGTATATCTCAAAAACGGCAGCTCTTAGGAAAAAAGTATTCATCTTTAATTATTTTTATACTTTTTCAACAGGACCTTTTTTACCTGTGAGCTCGAGCAATTTTTTACACATACCGAAAGGAGCGGAGTTTTAGTATGTTATGTTTGACAATGTTCTGAATATATTCAATCACTTTCAGCTTGTTGTATATTTATATACCTTCACTTTACTTCCTGGTCTAATTTGACCGAAGTAATAACGATTTTTTGAGATTTTTTACATTTTATCATGGTTTTACTGTACACGGTAAGTCTTATTTACATAGCAGAAGAAAACACCACATATATTTACGAACATCAATAGAATTTAAGAAGAAAGGCGAGGGAAAAAATTAAGAATAACAAATCATATTTCAAAGGAAAGACTGCAATATGCCAACCAGAAGCAAATATCTTTTAATACTTTTAAAGCTGTGTGAAAGCGTTCGAACAAAATAAATTATACATACAAAAAAAAACAAAATCGCTTTGGTTACTGTGTGTTTATCTTACGTACAGTGCGTGACAAAAGTATACATACAATGTATGCGACCAGTGTTTACACAGATAACGAAAAACCAGATAAAAATTTAGTAAATCGTGTGCTCATCTCTAATTAAATCTGTGGCAATATGTTTAAGTGGAGTAAGACGGTTTAAGTTATTAGACACAAACTTGATTCTTCTGGCCAACCTCATGTATCGAAGACGAATCCTACACATTTAACCATTTCAGGCTGGGGAACTGTTCGACTGCTTAGAACCTTTATTTTATTTATAACCAATATTTATTGTCATGGATAAACCAATGTGTTTATTTATATCACAATCGTCAGATGAACAAATAACTATTAAGATTAAGATAATATACAAATTATATGGTAAATAATAATAAATTCTATGGTCAATTTGGAGTTTGTTTAAGCATTAATATTCTTTAAGGTCTTAAAAGAATTCGCTTAATCATTATAAAACAAATTAATTGATTTTCGTTTGTGTTTTGTTTTACCAAAGATTTCATAACGTGTGTAGCAGGCGTGGTAGGTTTGTTTTGATCTTACACTGTATACTTCGACAATTACGACTGCGAAGTTCATGAACCCGAAATGAAGATGTTTATAAACTGCAACGCGCCCAATCATTTGTGTTAATTTATTTATCAAACAGATGTATTGAAATAGGTGAGCGCCATTCCACAATTACTCTACAGTATTCAATGTTTTTTCGTCTTTTCTTTCGTAATTTCAAACTATTATTTTGTTTTTTTAGTCTCCTAAAAAATACTTATTTTAAACCTGAAATATCTTATAGTCTAAAAGATTTTTATTATAGTTGTGCTTATTTTTAAGAAAAAGTAGCATGAACTGAAGGGTGGTGAATAAAACAAACAACTAGTATTAGTGACATAGGCTCCATTTTAAACAATTCAACGGGATAAGGTTGTTATTGCTTTCAGACAAAATTTGCAGTGACAAAATTACGGGTTTTTAAAAGAAGTTCACAGCTCGATTTTTGAACAGATACAGAACTATACACAGAAAATGCAGAAAGAATTTGATAGTAATAATCGGATCACTTTTCTCCGAGTAATCACTCAAGCAAATTCGAAAAATATAGTTTTGAAAACAAAAACGCGTTTAAATACGAGTATAAACTGATGGAGCTGATTGAACTGATCTTTAGAAGTCTGTAACTCAAAAATAGTTCGACTCGATTTAAAATTGTAGTATATTATTTTTAAAGGAATAACCATATCTGAAGTTAAGATCTAACATTACAAAAATTTTCAAGTCTAACATTTTTTCAAAATAATGCTTCGTTGGCAGGAGTGGAGGGTACCAATGCTAATACTGACAAATTTATTCATTCTTTTACAAACATTTTTTTGATATACAGAAACATGTGTCCCTCTAAAATTTGAATACACAAAATGTTAGCAGAATTATCGCACGACAATAAAGCACGTACGAAATATTTTACGAAGTTTACAAATGATGATTACTTTCAAGTCCGAGTAAATACAGTTTTCTTC